CTCAACGTAATATTTAAGAATTTTCTGCTGTTGCTTTAATTAAATATAACTTTTAATAATCAATAATAAATTATTTTAATTCAGTTTTAAAATATCTATGTTTTAACTAAAAGAATTTTCAAATTCGGTAGATTTTAAACTATTAACTTTAAAATTTTAAACTCAGCTGTAATAACGACAAATGTCAAAAATGTATACTTTAGTAGAATATTTTTAGGGACGGATAATGCTTTTTCGCGAAGTATTGGCGTAGTTTCGACACCAAAAGCGATTAGTACAGTTAGGGCTATATAAAAGTTAAAAATATTAGTAATTTAATGTACCTTTAGTTGCCTCTTTTAATAGCACCTTGCGGCTCCCTTCGACAACAGGCTCGTTAGGTGGTTGTGTATATCGCCTGTGCTTGGAGTGGCACAGTCATCTATAATTTAAGAGGGCCGAAACTGTCTACTAATTGTGCTAATTCGAATCTAAGACTTTTCTACTCTTTCCTAATCCATGCAAAAGCCTTTCGTAGTGACCACCTGTAACAGGGAACCACATCTGAATGTTACCAACGTTTTCGAGCATATATACAAAGATCGATACGATACTAAATCTCATTTCTAAGACGACCTCTTCACACACAACCAATATTATTGGGAACTGTGTTATAATCTTTTAAAGAGAATCCACTATAATTTTTTTATTTGCCTTTCAGATCGATGCAAAATAACTGACTGCATGATTTTCCGCGGTTTTCTACACTTGTAACGTAAGTAGATACTTGTTTCCCTTATAATGTCTTCCACGAATGCATCCCTTCCTTAAGTAACATCTTCACATCTTGCTTTATCAATTAGCAAACCGATCATGATGTTTTCATAGATAAAAAATACATTTACTTCGTTTTAAAATTAACTTTTTCGTAATTACTTTTAAAGTACGTCTCTATAATTGCGCTTTCCCTATTGAATTAATCAATAGGTTCATGCAAAACCTACGTACATTATATAGCAGCTAACTCGCTCGGCAGGAGTTTCAAACTCAATATATTAGATACATATATTAAAAAAATACTAATTTTAATTTAAAATTAATAAAAAACCAGTCTTGGGTTAACATTTGATGTTATAATACGGCCTACGCGTTCCAAGGGTTGGGTCACAGGCTTCTTCAAAATGTGCATAGCTTTCTTATAAAACCAAACTTCAATCTAAAATTTTGCCTAATTTTAACTTATGCTAAAATATAACAAAAAAGCATAAAAAAAATTACTTGAACCACTTCCTACGTTAATTAAAATTAAGTTTGTAGGTTTTGCGAAGAGACTTTTAGGCTTTGCGAAGTATACAGAATATAATAACCATTCCTCCCTCGCGTGATTTTCGCGGTTTTCCCCATGTGTAACGTGTATACGAGCCAGTTTCCCTTAGAAAGTCCTCCACGAAGGCATCCCTCCCTTTAGGCAGATAGCCCTCGCGGTCTTTGCCATAATTAAATAATCCAATCTAATCCAATCCTCCCTCGTGTGAACCTTCCAACTATTAAGGGGACATGCTAACAACGTATACATAATTCCTTTTACATTTTTTAAAGACGACTAGGTAGAAGGCAAGACTGTGATTGGGACAGTGACCTCTGTATTTCACTTCGACGCCACCGCGAACATTATTAAGTTTTTCGGGAGGACGGAACGCGAAAAGTTGCTTGCGCGCAACACGGAATTCGAACTAAGGATTTGTTCTTTCTTTCACAGTTTGCTATGTTCTTATACTAGAATTAGAATCTGGTTTAGTTTATTTGATTGCAGCAGAGCACTCAAGGGCTATCAGCATAAGGGAAGGGATGCTTTCATGGAGGACTTTCTAAGAGAAACTGTCTCGTATATATGCTACACATGTGGAAAACCACGAATACGCCCATGCAAGAAGCTCATTCACGGGATTAAAACCCCGGATCGAACTACCAGTGTTCAGAGACTTTTACCGCTCAGCCGCTGTTGGGTCGGAATTTAGAATCGCTGTCCTTACTTTTATACAGTTTACAATCTTGTCTTTAATATAACTGAGATGCTATTTTTGTCCGCTCTAAAGGAAGACTAGAGATTGTTGTGAATCATTTATACATTTTACTGATGCTCCGTGTTACAACAGAACTTTGCCCATCAGCGTAACAAAAGAAATATTTTATTATTCCCCCCTTTACTTATACACCGTTTCTTATACACCGTCAAAGTTAAAAAAAAAAAAAAAAAAAAAAAAAAGTTTCTTAGAGCGTATAGCAATATGATGACAACAAAATTTTGAACTCTAACTCTTGATATCGTTTACATACAAAATAAGCTATATTGGCAATGTCGAAATTTTACAGTTAACCTTTAGCACCATCATCCTCTCTATAGCTTTACCTTTTATTTATGTAGTTTTAAATTCCTACAGCCATCTTTCCTCTCTCCTTATCTAATTGCCTGAACACTGGTAGTTCGGTCCGAGGTTCGAATCCCGCGAACGGGATGGCTGCATGGGCGTTTTCGTGGTTTTCCCCATGTGTAACGTGTATACGAGCCAGTTTCCCTTAGAAAATCCTCCACAAATGCATCCCTCCCTTTAGGCAGATAGCCCTCGTGTGCTTTGCCAGAATTGAATAATCCTAATACAATCTTTATCTAGTTGGTCATGTATTTCCTAATATTTTGATATTTTACCATTTTTATAATTCACTTTCAAGAAATAAATACAAAAGGAAACATCAGAACTTTTAAAATCGAACTTCTTTATGGAGAAAAGTTTTATTTTTATTGAACTGTAAAAAATCAGTTTTTTAAATTTCGTAGCAGTAGACTTTTTTTATTCATTTCAAAGTAAAATTCCGGAAATATAACGTTAACCTCAACGTTCAGTTTTTAAACAGAAAATGTTTACTTTATAATATAATTCTATTAGTACAGGTTAAACTCAGAACGATACTTCTCTACCGGAAAAATTTCTACTTATACTTTTTTAGAACGGTTTCATTTGTAAACACAAATATGTAACTACTCATTAATATCATTTTAATAACGCACATATATTGCACATTTATAAATTTGATCATTACAATGTCATTATAATATTAACAAGTAATTAATTTGAGATTTTAATTTAATTATCGTATTTTAATTTCTGTGGTTTCCACTACAAGAATTTAAAAAAATCAAAAGCGGACCTGCAGAGAGACCTCTTTGTATTAAATATTAATACATCATTCTTTCAATAAAATTAATTACTTTTAAATTCAATTCCACCCAAATAATGATTAAAATCTGCAAGTTATTGCATAAAACCTGAAAAATAATTCTCTATTTTATGTAGATTATTAAATTATTTTTCGGGTTTTCTTGAATTCAGGTAAACTAGTTCTCCTAGAGAACGGAAGTCTTCATAACGTGACCCTACCGAATATTTTCTTACTAATAACTTCGCATGTGCTTAAAACGCATGTTTTGCTCTCTTATTTGCCAGTGTAGGTTGTTTGAATACAACAAAGCCACGCGGGCTATCTGCCTAAGAGAAGGAATGCCTTCGGGGAGGACTTTCTTAGGACAGCTGGCTTGTATTAACGTTTCACATGGGGAAATCCACGAAAACCAACAATGCAGCCAGTCTGTTCACTTGCGTTTAGCCCAAGCAAGGTTCGAACTTCCAGCATTCAGCGTTCTTAACCACTCTTATTTTCCAAAATCATTTTTAATCTAATATTATGATAGTAAACTCTAATATCATGCCAGTATGCATTGATTTAATACAAAACGACTCAGTGTACTTCTTACTTGCTGCCTCATTGGTCTCTCGATATGCATCGAGCCTTTTCTCTTTAAATAAACACTGTTTATCAACTATTTAACAAATTGCAATCAGAAAGCAAAGCCGGTACAACCGTGCGGCCTCAGCAGCCATCATAATTTAGGGACGGCAAAATGTTTACAATTTAGGATGTACCGGGCGGCAGAACTTTGGAGTTGTAAAGTTTGCACCGGGCGGCATGGCAAAAGTCTGGCGTCGGTTCCGTCTGAAAGTTTCTAACACCTCGCACAGGATAAACGGTTAAAAACTTTTAAAAATTAAAAATACATACACACACACACACACATATATATATAAACTATACAAATATGTTACTTAATTTCTTAAATAAAAGTAATATTCTACAGCTGTCAAGTTTAGAAACTAAATCTTCTGTTAGCACATAAACTTAAACTTTTATTAACGAATAAAATTTTAATTAAAAAAACTCCTATTTCAAAAGATCTGTTTAGAAATGTACATAAAGTTGGATTTAATATTACTATAAAAATATATCATCCTAATTATGTTTTATTTTGAATGCGGCCTACAGGTACACAAGAAAAAATAATACTAGAAAATTTACAATTCACCCTTTGCACGCATTATGATGCTGTTTTGTTTATGACGCTCACATTATAAATTAGCCCTTAATCTAAAATATTATTAGGAAATTCAATATATGTCAAAATATGTTAAGAAATTCAACATTGCAGATAAATAAAATGACTTTTTAAATGATTATCATTTTACAATATTGCCGATAAATAAAAACACGTCATAGATTAACAACAGCTTTTAGTTATCGCGGACACAGTTTCGTCGCAAAGTGAAAACAGAAGACCCATCGAAGAAATTTTTCTCAAGCCTTCGAAATGTTAAAAAACTCCTTTCATTAACAATAGAATTAAAAGAAAAATGAAGCCATTGAAAGCTGATAATTAAGCAATTGCTGCTACAGCCGCGTACGTATATTTCTCGCAATCTAATCTTCCGTACTTTTATCCCAAAGCATGATAACAATCTCATTCCAAGCACTGCACAAAACGAGAGACACGTAATCTTATTTATTAACGTAATACTAGATTCAAATCACAGAGCGAATTCTTAAGTGCAATTAAATTGCAATCGAACCCCTGGTACACCGAATATAATACGGAGGGGGCGGAAGATAGTAAAAAAAAAATATTCACTTACTTCCTCCGCTCGCCGAGTGCACGCCGCACAGTAGCAGCAACAACAATCCGAAAACGGTGACTTGGGTCAAGATCCGATGACCAAAAGGAGAAGGAAGATCCTTCTCCCTTATTGCACTGAGCGGAGTCAATGAGACGCACATCAACTTATCTTCATCTCTTCTGCCCGAATCAGTTGTGCATAGCTCGCTACATTCGCTCGGAATACTGTTTCTTCTTTCGAGTTCCTAGGGTTGCTTTTTCTGCTTATCTCCAAACGCAGTCGGATTTGCTCGCCAAAAGTCAGATTACAGAGAAAAATGGAAGCCAAAAAGAAGCGGGATTTTAACCATTTGGTGCTGGGAGGAACTGAAAAGAATGCATGTTTTTGCTGTGCATCGCTTAGGAGAGCATTATCAACAGTTCGGAGACGGGTTTCATCTCTCTGAAAAGTAGGAAAAATTACCAGGGACTATTTCGGAAGATCTTGAGCGCGTATTTCTTACGAGGGCACAATATTTTTAAGCATTCATAATCGCTTAATGTTCACGAAAATTGTCGTAACTCATTTTTATTGTAGACACAATAATCAAATTTCCAATTAAGAAAAGTGGTTTTTTTTTTTTTTTTTTTTTTTTTTTTTTTTTAAAGCCTAAAAGAGCAATTTGCCCAGAAGGGCTATTAATTTAGTTTTGGCATTTCACTTTTCAAATTGTTGCTACCAAATATTAGAGCCCTGCATCATGTTTAAAGAAATTAAATAATGAAGAATATGCATGAGTAATGTGTAAATTAAATACTGTGTGTAAATTTCTCGCATTGTGAAAAAACAACGGTACCTAGAGACGTCAAATTTTGAGTAACGTAGTCCTCCATTCGAACATGGGCATTTGGAATTTATTTTATCTATTTCATATTTTGTAAAACTTTAACGAATTTTTGATTAGCAGACTTAACGATTTCAAAGCAAGCAATGGCAACACTGTACGGGGAAAAAAAAGAAAAAAATCTCCAGAGCGAGAGACTGTATATCGGAAATTCTAAAAATATGCTTTTTATAAATATTTTGTGATATTGTTGTTGAATTCAATTTTATGGTTTATATGCAAAGAACATGGTATTTAATTAATAAAGGTAACACACAAACCGTTACAAAAATTCCCCTTTAGGTGCAACATAAAATCTGAGCCTTTTACACCTAAGTTTTTGTTTTCCCTTATATATATTTGATCATTAAGAAGGTACATTTCTAAAATTTTCGTTGCTTTAAAAATTTCAGTAGTTGCATTTTATCAAAAAAGTACCGTTGGTATCTATCATAGCTAGCAGAATATAACGCCGTTTACGTTCAGCTGAAAATACGATTTCAATACCGCTGCCATAAAATTCACTGTCCTGAAAAAGTCAATTAATCCTGTATGCGTTAATATCAGAATTTCCAAAAATATATTGTAACACACTCAAGTTATAATATAATTTTGGAATTTATAATAACACGCAGGTTAAAATAGTATAAACCTGCCTGTGTTGTGAAATATCACCAGATTGCCCAAAATACGCCGAAAACTCTAATTACCTACATACAAGCTTATATTCTTTTTTGTCTTTCTAAAAATATCTTAACGTTTTTTGGCCGTGATAAATAAGCTGAGTTTTATCCTAGTCAGTATGCAACGGAGTACACTGCACCGGAATAGTCTATGATATTGACGGAGAAGGAAAATACAGAATTAATATCTAAAATAATACGGGGTCATAATGAAATATAAGTATTAATACGAAGTTAACAAATTAATACTCAGGCACAATGAAATAGAAATGTATTTAAGAATGCAATTTAAATTCACATAAATATTAAGAAATAAATTTTAAATCCAATGTATGGGTTAGGGAAAAATATACAAAATTAGTAGTAAAAGCATAAAATAATTACTAATAACAACAAAGAAGACGTATAATAAAATGCTAATTTTCCAAATAGATGTCAACTAGTGCTATTTCAGATAACTTAAAAGATAAATAAGCCTAATGATAAATAAAATAAAAAATCTGAAATAAAATAAAAAATCTGAATAAAAAATAAAAAATCTGAAAGGTTTCAGATTTTATATTACGTCCAAAGGGGCGTTTTTTTAACGTCTTGTACGTTGCCTTTATTTATTAAATATTATCTTCTTTGCACTTAAACCATAAAATTCAGTTCAACAGCAATGTCGCAAAATAATTTTAAAATGAGCATATCTTTAGAATTTCTTATACACAGTTCCTATACACAGTTTTTTTCCCACCGTAGAGTGTTGCCATTGCTCGCTTTAAAATCGTTCAGTTTGTCACTCAAAAATTCGTTAATGTTTTACAAAATATGAAATCGATAATAAGACAAATTTCAAATTTGGGCTTTCAGATGCCCATATCCGCAGTAGGATTACGTCATTCAAAATTGGATAGCTCTAGGTACCGTTGTTTTAACGATGCGAGAAATATATATACATTTATGCAGGTTCTTCATTATTTAATTTCTTCAAATATAATACAGGGCGATAATATTTAGTGGTAACTGTCTGAAACGTGAAATGGACATTCAGAGTGATTCGACGCAAAACAAAAACAATAATCCCTGGCGGACAAAGGCACTTTGAACTAATAAAATGGAAGAGCGTGCATTAAAAAAGAAAAAAGGTTCTCAAATAATTTGCTGATTTATACAACACAGAATCAGTTCTAAATCCTCTTTCAGAAGAACATAAATTTAATCCTATATGAAAGTATAAAATATGCATTTATCTTGAATTCTTAAGTTCAGTGAAGTGTAATTTCAAATATGAAGTTAAAGTTACACTTCAGAAATACGTACAATAATTTTAAAAAATAAAAACGTGTTAATGTTGTAGTTACTTTTAATATGATTGCTCTGCTTATATAGAAGGGAAAATTAAACTGATGCAAAAGGTAAAATATAAATACTTTTATAATATTTCTTTAAGAAATGTCTCCACATATCTTTTTTTCGACTACTTTGTATCCTGTGGACTAGAAACACTAGGCAAACGAAGCACATTGGCCCACCAGCGACCGAGCGCTTAAAGCCGCTGAAACAGTTGTAGTTCGGGTCCAGGTATCGAGTTCTAGCGAACGGGCTGGTTGCAAGGGCATTTTCGTGGCTTACCCCATGTGTAACATGGATATGAGCCAGCTTCTCTTATTAAGCCCTCCACGGGGCATTCCTGACGTCCCGCGTAGTGCCTCAGGGCAAAATACGTAATAAGGAAAACGAAGCACATGCGCTATTTTACTGTTTTATGGGGAAGATAGTATTTGATTATAACTTGTTATTTTAACAATATTTAACCTCTTCGTCGTCCGTAACGCGTCTAGCGCGTTCAAGTGAAACTTCCGCAGGGCGGCCGTAACGCCTCTCAAGCGTTCTTCTACATTTTAAAACTTTTAAACGCTTTCTAAATGTTTACTTGTTTGAGTTTTTATTTTTGTTTGTTCTAATACCTCCTAGAGGGTAGCACTAATCAGACATTCTATTTCAAATTGAATGTGCCCCGTGTTTTATGAATATTCGCCATTTTACATAAGATACAAGATAGTGTGAGATGGCTTCAACGTCTACTCAGCAGAAAAAGAGAAAAAATGAGGTTGGGAATTGGAAAGACAAGAATGATATACGTTTGATGAGTACAGTTCATAATAACTCGATGATTGACGTTGGAACACGAAAAAGAACTGTAAAAAAAAAAAAAAAAAACAATAATTGTAAAAGATTACAACAACAAAATGGGAGGAGTGGACCGCCTGGATCAGACCGCCTTATCAAATTATCCTGCTGTTAGAAATAAGCAGAGATATTATTATTTTTTCCATTATGCTTTATTTCCTTGTAATTTCACTTAATATTCATTGACATTCATCCACTACGAAAGTCATGTTTGGAAAGTTATGATGTACAGAGAAAACAATATTACACGCTACGAAAAACAGACGGCCGCTGGGGGGGGGGATTTTCGATCACAGGAGAGGACGACGAAAGGGTTAAGCCCTTAAGTAGTACTCTTAAAAGTTGATCTTAAGGATCGCCGGCCAAAATATGAAAAAATAATAATTTTCTTTCACTGTGTTAAACAAAGCATGATCATTATAAAATAGAATTTTTAATAACTGAGAACAGGCGTAATAATTCATTGAATACTTTTTTATGCTTAGAATTTTACAAACTTAATAAGCCTTCCTTTATATTATTAGTTTAAATAACTTAAAAATACACGTAACAAAACTCATACAGAAATTCATAGTTAAGGTCATAAAATGCAAAACAGGTTACATTTCTTTAAAATTTATTGTAGATTCGCATGACAATCATTTCATTTTGTACATACCCAAATATTTAACTGGTATAATATTGATCTTATGTATTCAAGCATCGCGTTTTAACACAACGGTTTTTTTTCGATGGTCTTGTAAATAATCTCTGTTTCTAAATGTCTCTATTTTCAATATTTTATTTTAAACTTTTGATATTTTGGAATACCAATGGATTATTTACTATGCGTTCAACGTGTCAACCGAATATATATTTTGCTTGTATTACTTAAAGGTAATCTTTGCATCTAAAGTTCCTCTTACTATACTTTCACAGGTAGTAAATATAGATAAAAAGGTTGTTCACAGATTTTTTAGAGGATTTTCATTGTATTTACAAGAAAATTACCTAAAATTTTTGTGTTTTAAATGTTCCTTTTGATAAACCTTATTCTTTACTATCTTTTTACACTGTAATTTCTCCCCAAGACAATAAAACTTTTTTTAGTGTCGAAAGAGGTTATTTTATCCCATTTCTTTTGAACAGCTTTTCAACTTCAAGGAGGATTGTAAGTCGACATTTGGACACCTTGCTTTTTAAAAGTCCCCAGGCGCAAAAATTCGTGATGATGATACATCAGGAGATTTAGTACGGATATGAGTGAAGATGGCCTTGTTACACCTTTCTTGTTACATTTTTTCCAGGAAAATGGCAGTGGATTTTGAAGTGCGGCTGCTTGCCTTGTATTGATGCAGTTGGCAGTTCTACTGATTGATGACACTGTGGGGAAAGAGAACGTATTTTATATATGAAAATTGGGTATAAAATATGTTCTTGATAATATGTGGAGTTCGTCTTAATAGTTTTCTGCACTCTCTTGTAATTTTTATTTGTCATTATACTAAAAATCAG